GAGAATTGGGAACAGCCATGAACCGTCACTGAGGTGCGGAGTTTTCTTGGTCTAGCAGGTTATTATTGACGGTTTGTTCAAGATTTTTCTATGATTGATTTACCACTAACGAAGTTAACCAGAAAGGATGTTAAGTTCGAGTGGGACGAGAATTGTGAGCAAAGTTTCCAGCATCTGAAATATTGCCTCACTCATGCTCCAGTATTGGTACTTCCTGATGATAGTGGTAACTTTGAGATTTACAGTGATGCTTCTTTGAATGGTTTGGGATGTGTTTTGATGTAGCATAATAGAGTGATCGCCTATACTTCTCGACAGTTGAAGATTCATGAAAGGAATTATCCTACTCACGATCTTGAGTTGGCAGCCATTGTCTTTGCTTTGAAGATTTGGAGACATTATCTCTATGGTGAGAAATGTAAAATCTTCACAGATCATAAGAGTCTTCAGTATCTTTTTACTCAACGTGATCTTAATCTTTGTCAGCAAAGGTGGATGGAATTACTAAGTGATTATGACTGCACTATTGAGTATCATCCGGGTCGTGCAAATGTGGTAGCTGATGCACTAAGTAGGTAACCTTAAGGTCAACTCAATGCTTTGTATGCTTGCCGTGTTCCTCTTCTTACAGATTTGAGAGCTATTGGAGTAAAGTTGGAGATCGAAGAACGAAGAAAAGCTTTTCTTGCTAGTTTCCAAGTCAGGCCATTTTTGGTCGATCGTGTACTTAAAGCTCAGATGGTTGATGAAGAGATCCAAGAGATGACCCAATTGAGAAATGAAGGGAAAAAGAAAGACCTCAGGATTCGAGAATCAGATGGCATGCTTATGCAAGAGAACATAATGTATGTGCCGAATAAGGAGGAATTAAAGAAGAAAATTTTGGATGAAGCACATTGTTCGGCTTATGCGATGCATCCAGGAGGAACTAAGATGTACCATACCATTCGACCATTTTATTGTTGGCCGGGTATGAAAAGGGAAATTGCAAATTATGTAAGTAGGTGTATTGTTTGTCAGCAAGTCAAAGCTGAAAGAAAGAAACCTTTTGGGCGGATGTAACCACTTCCAATTCCTCAATGGAAATGGGAAAATATAACTATGGATTTTGTGTATAAGCTTCCATGTACACAAAATGGATTTGATGGCGTTTGGGTGATTATAGATCGACTTACCAAATCAACACACTTCATTTCAATGAGGGAAAAGTATCCCCTGAATAAATTGGCTAAGTTGTTCATCACGAAGATTGTGAAGTATCATGGAGTTCCAGTGAATATTATTTCTGATCGAGATCCAAGATTTACTTCTAAGTTTTGGATAGTTTTTCAGGAAGCTCTTGGTACGAAATTGCTTTACAGCACTACTTATCATCCTCAAACAGATGGACAATCAGAGAGGACTATTCAGACGTTAGAGGATATGTTGAGATCTTTAGTGTTACAGTTTGGTGATTCTTGGCATGAGCGCCTAGACCTGATGGAATTTGCCTACAATAATAGTTTTCATTCGAGCATTGATATGTCACCATTTGAGGCACTTTATGGTAGAGCTTGTCGTACACCATTGTGTTGGTCAGAGGTTGGCGAAAGAGTGCTAGAGGGCCCAGAGATTGTGGATGAGACTACTGAAAATGTTCAGGTGATTAAGTCTAACCTGAAGGCGGGCCCAGGATCGACAAAAGAGTTTAGCAGATAGACATGCTACTGATCGAGTATATGATGTGGGTAATTTGGTATTCTTGAAATTGTCACCTTGGAAAGGTGTAGTACGGTTTGGAAAGAAAGGCAAGCTAAGTCCTAGGTACATAGGACCTTATGAGATCACTGAAAGGATTGGTGAAGTTGCTTACAGATTGGAGTTGCCTCCGGAGTTATCTAAGGTACATAATGTATTTCATGTCTCGATACTTCGACATTATGTTTTAGATCCTTCACATGTGATTCCTCCTTAACCTCTGGAGATTAATCCGGATTTGACGTATGATGAGGAACCAGTGACTATCTTGGATTGGAAAGACAAGGTTTTAAGGAATAAGACAGTGAGCTTGGTAAAAATATTATGGAGGAACCACTCAGTGGAATAAGCTACTTGGGAGACGGAAGATCGAATGAAAGAGATGTATCCAAGGTTGTTTTATGAGTATTAAGTGGAGTGAGTGGTTGTATGAATTTCGAGGACGAAATTCTATAAGGAGGGTAGATTGTCACAGCCCGTCTAGAGATTTTTTCATCGGGAAATGTGAAATGACAGAATTACCCTCGGACGATATTTGGGGTGTGACTTACGTTTGGTTTAATTTCGGGATCTTTGGAACCAATTAGAACTAAGATCCTTCTTAGTTTTGGTTGGTGGCTTTTTGGACCACACAACTCCCTATCACTCTCTCTCTCCTATCCCGTGTCTCTCTCTTCCCTTTCAGTATCTCTCTCATTTCGAACCATACAGACACACTCACCATCGAGCCTCCAAGCACGGATCGAAGGTTTTGAAGGAACCATTGTGCTCGTGAGGACCCTACGAACTCACCCATACCCATTTCAGGTAAGAAACCTTTCGATTTCACGTTGAAAACTCGAGGTCCGATTTGAGTACTATTCATGAACTTTGTAATTGTTGGTTTTTAGGACAATCCAAGCTCACAGTGAGCTTTAGGAGGTTCTCACGAAGCTCGGGGACGTTCGTTTGAAGGTTTTGGACGTCGGGATTACAAGGTTCGAAGGTGGCCGGTTTTGGTGAAATTTCCCGACGTGATTTCGAAGGATTTGGAAGTTTTTAAAGGTATAGCCTTCTTCCTCTTGTAATTTGTGAAGTTTTGGTGAAAATTTCATGGAAAATGGTTGAGAATCGAGCGAGAAAAGGACGATTACAGGTTTGCCCAGTTTCCGGCGCCACGAGTTTTTCCGGCGTCTGGAGGAAGGAAATGATGCGCGTGGGGGGCGCGTAGACCCATGCCTATCCCGACGTGTGCAGCATTGAATTTTTTTTCTAAAAATACCTCGATGTCCGTGACGTCGAGTAGGCCACTGTGGTATATTCATATACCCAATTTGAGCATCGTATGAGAAGTTATTACGTATTGTTGGTTATGTGCTTTAAATAACGTTTTTATAGTTGTTTCGCATATAGGTGATACCTATCCCAAGAACGAGCGCATTCAAGGACGTCATAAGGGTTACGACCCTTCGACATACCAGTGAGTAGGCAGTATTTTCTGTATTTACCTATGTACTATTGATTTTTCCCAGAAATTGAATTTAAATGAAAGTATGTTTTAAAATGCCATGCATACATTATATGAATTGATAATTGTTGCATATATATGTTAAATGGTGTTGTGGACGCACAGGTGAGTATCATGTGAGTTTTATGTTAATCATGTGATTTATTGTGATGTGAATTGTATTGAAAGCTCAAACCTGCACCCTAGGTGTTACTGCTTATATTACTCACCCCGCACCACACGCTCACCTTGGATCCAAGTAGGTGCATGTCGTACAGACCATTAAAGGGTTCCGACATGTCATACAGACCATGAGAGGTGGTTCCGACTTGTAGGTGACTTTAGATTATTATACAGCTGTTGATGAGAGAAACACTATAGAGTATTGTTACACCATTCTTGTCGTACATACTACTTCAGGTAGTTCCGATTTATGTGCAGAGTAGTGCCGTACAGGTCATCGTTGGTGACTCCGGTTAGATTGGATATTGAGCTATAAAATTAACCGTGCAGGACCAACTGCAGGGTCTCTGGTTGATTCCTTATTTCACCTGTTATAATGTTGCATCCTTATTCTGTTATTGACGGTTATAGCATGGCATACTTTCTGGTTTTTGTTAAAGATTGGTGATTTGAGATATTTGAAGAATTATATGCATATTATATTATTTTCTGGGAAAATATACAGGTTTTACAGTGAGGGGTTAGAAATGTTATTAAATGAAGTGTTTTCAAAAAGCTTTGTTTTACTGATCCACTCAATTTTGTTTTGCGCCCCTCCAGGTTCTAGTTAGCGGTGTGGTGGCTCACGAGGATTCCCACGACATTCTGATAGACTACATAAATGCAGGACTCACCTTCGGTTGTTGTAATTTAGTAATGTTCCTACTTGACTGCACCTAGTACTTATGCTCTGAATATATGTGTTTCACGCTTAAACTTACTCTAGCATGCTAGTTGGATATTATTGCTAGTAGTTGGTTTTTATTCCTTCGTATTTCTCTTATCTTTTGCTTCCGCATCGCACTTTTGGTTACGTCACGCTCACGTGACGGCCAGCACGCCTTGATTCTGGGATCGGGGTGTGTCAATTGTTTTGCTGACCCACTCAACTTTGTTTTTCGCCTCTCGAGGACCTAGATAGCAGTACTCTTTGTGGCACTTGAGGAATCTCGACAGTTTTGACATTTCCTTCTGTTTAAACATACGAACTAATCACTATTATGTAATGAGTGTACTTTGGTTGTTTTGACTACTCTTCTGTAGTCTCACTGTCTATTATGCTCTGAATAATTGTAGTGGGTTCAACTCACGATTGCGAACTCTTTCACTGTTTAGTTCTAATTAGTTTTAATTTTATTCACTTTTTGCATCACTTACCCTTATGGTTAAGTCACCTCATGGTGATGGCCAGCATGCTTCGACATTTCCAGGTCAGGGTGTGTCATATATATATATATATATATATATATATATTAGAGCTAAAAGTCGCTAGTTATAGAACTCTTATTTTAAGTTTTTAATTAAACTTTTGTGAGAAAGTTTAAAAGTTAAAAATAAAAAACCAATAAGAGTTCAATGGTGTTTATGGGAGAGAACAAAGATTAACCAACATTATCAATGTATCTATTACATTATAATGACGAAGATAAATATAACTGTAAATTAATGAGGAATTCGTTATTCAGTGGGTATGATTATTGATAATTTCCGATTACAAATACGATTAACTTTCGTGGTTATGCGGATAAATATAGATTTGCGTCCCCAAATCGAAGCGTTGCCATCCGTTTGTGAAATGGAAATGACCAGTTTTGCCGTTTGGCGTTTTTAGACTCAAGTCACTCGGTCGTATTTTTCTGGAAAACCCCATTTGACCATGTCCCTCCCCAAATGCATCTACACCCTCCGCCTTTCCCACCACTTCTCCACCGCCACGAAAACCGCCTCCGCCGTAAGGCTCCCCAAACTCTCCAATGTCCCCACCAGATACAAGTCGGAAACCATCAAGCAAGCCCAGCAGGCCCTCACCGACTACCTCCACGCAACCAGATCCTTGTCCTTCCCCTCCGCCGAGCACATCAGCAAGAACTGCCTGTTTTCCCTCACCAATCTCATAAAAAAGATCGAGTTTTCGGTCCCGAAATTCTCGAACCGCTTCAAGAGGCTACTCAGGTACCACCCCATCAATGAATTTGAGTTTTTCTTTGAAAGCATTGGCATAGATTACAATCAAGTTTGTGACTTTTTGCCTCCCAACAAGTACTTTTTCTCTGAGGATGGGACCCTTTTGAATGTTGCTACTGAACTTTCGAGATTTGGGTTTCCTTGGAATATGTTAGGGAAGTTGTACGAGGAGGAGATTTCCATTTTTAGTGAGAGTTCCGAGGTGTTGAAAGCTAGGCTTAGTAGGTTGAAAGAATGTGGGTTTAGTAATCATTCAGTTGTGGGAATGTGCTTGGCTTTCCCTTATTTGCTGGCGGTGGAGGGTGAGCCGGGCGGTGATGCGGCATTGTTTGATGATTTCAAAAGGGTTCTTGTGGAGTTTAATATGGAGTACTGTGTTGAAGGAAATGTGGATGCTTGGTATGATGTTTGTAAGAAAGTTCGGGTGTTTTGCGATTTGGGTTGCGGGAAAGGGAAGATAGGGGAACTGATGGGGAGGAAGAAAGATGTTTTTCTTACTTGTCCAGCAGAGGTTTTGTGCCAGAAATCTAGGTACTTTTGTAGATTTGGTGTTAGGAAGGAAGATGTAGGTTTGTTCCTTCTTCAGAGTCCTGAGGTTTTAAATTTTGATCTGGAAACACCGAATATATCAGCATTGGGATTGTTGGAAATTTTTGGATTGAACGTGAAAGAAATAGAGGCTGTGATCGAAAAATACCCTCATGTGATGGGAAAAAATAAAATGGCTAATTTACCACATGTAATAAGGGCTCTCGATCTTCATGAATGGTTCTTCACTAAGATTAAGAATGAACCTCAATTGTTAGAAAATTATGTAATCAGTGATTTTGATGAAGACATTGCGAAAGAATTTGGTGAAGGATTGGAGAGGATTCAATCTACGACAACTCCCATTCATACAATGAGAAAATTGGACTTCATGCATAGCATTGGGTTTGGAGAGAACACTTTGACCCTAAAGGTCTTAGCCCACTTGCATGGTAGAAGTGGTGAGTTGCAAAAGCGGTTTGATAGCCTTTTTTCTACGGGCATTGATTTCTCCAGGCTTTGTCTGATGATAAGCACGACACCAAAGATCCTGAATCAGAATCCAGAATCTTTGGAAGCCAAAGTTAACTTTCTTTGCAAGGAAATGAAATCCTCTTTGGAGTACCTCAATATTTTTCCTGCATTTTTGTGTTTTGACTTAGAAAACCGGGTCAAGCCCAGATATAGATTTTACGTGTGGCTTAAAGAGAAGGGTTTGCATTCTGAAAGCTACTCTATTGCCACCATGATTGCTACTAGTGAAAAGCAATTTGTAGCACGGGCTTTTGGAATTCACCCAGCTGCTCCAAAGCATTGGTTTGAGCGTTTCTCATACAGAAGATCTTTTAAAAATTGTGCAGGGACATCTATACCATAGACTACATGTTGTACAAATGAATTATGTATGGTACGATTCTTACCTGTGGATTTGGAATTCCAACACCGTAATGACAAAATTCGGAATTTCTCGAGGTTTATTTTAACCCTCTGTCATTGACCCATTGTGTGAGATATGTAGATTTTTCATTTTTATCAGATTTTCAAGTGACGATGACTTAAATAGTTTCTGCTTCTCAGCCACTGTGTTGGTGGTTGAGAGAAGTGATACTGACCTCATTATTGAAAGTAAGTTTTTGTTTTACATTGTACATATGACAATTGCCGTGATATTCAGTAAATGTTTTTTTTTTTTTTTTTTGCTGTTGCTACCAGCTTTTCGTATCTGGAGAATATATCTATTTGTGTGTAGATTGTTGTGTTTATCAAATACGGCAACCTCATTTCATTGCTTGTTGAAGTTCTTGAGGTTCATTTGAGCATATGCCAGAACTCTATTTCTCGGTGCCAGCCTCAGACATTTCTTGTGAAATTTAGTGTGGCAATTAGAGTTGAAAATGATCTATGTCATAGGACGTTGTTTTGTCTGTTCATTGTATATATGACTTGTGTTATTATGTGCGTTGAGTTACTGCTGGCTGTAGACAGTCAGGTCCCCTTTAGAAATGAAAAGAATGATTTTTTGAAGTGCACTTGCACCTCTTTATTCATTTGAAAAATTTTAAAATGATTTTGCTTGTCCATGTATATTTCCATCTCTGTGTTCCATTCCTATGCTTTCAATTCAGTATATTTCTGTTTGCAGTGTCCTTCCGGCATCAGCTAGCAGTTGCTGAATGAAGCTGTTGAACATGTTTCATCAATATTAACAGGGCTACAGTTGTTGAGGTCAGCCTTCAGCGGGAGTAGTTCAAGCCAATCCCGGAAGTAGAAAGAAGCTCTAGCAGGTACCATAACCCTATGGCTTCTTAATCAATGGTCTTTTGTAGCTTTAAAATGCTGGTGGTTGCTTCTTAAAGTGCAGTTTCCATTGACAGAAGCTCGAAACTGGTCTGCTTTCCTCATCAAAAGAGGTTCCAAACAGCTCTTTAACTCGATCTCGAGTCTAAAATTGACTAGGAAGTTGGAAGGTTTCTGAGGAGGCTGCAAGGAAGGTGTTGACATACGAACACAAGCCTGCATATTGGACTATGATTCTCGAGGCATTCACGTTGAACCTAATACTTTTCATTTACAAGTGAAGAGTACAACTACACTGTAGTACTAAGTGGGATATGACACTTTACTTCCCGCTCTTTTTTGCACTGATTAGTCTAATTCACACATGAATAGCCATAAAATATTTGGTTTCCAGAAATCCACTTCTTTGTTTGTGGATCCTAATACAAAATTAGTTGGGGTTGACGTCTTCCAAGATGCAATAGAATCTAAGTTAGGCACCAATTGATGATAATTTGAGATTGCTGATATGTGAATGGTGTCAATATTTCTCAAACCATATTCCTCTTTTTTTTTTAATATCATCCAAACCATTTTCTTTTTCTTCAAGAATTAGCTAATAATAATTACATTAAATTGATTTAAACTATGGGGACGGGGATTCAATTTTGAATAATGAAGGCAGAGCATATTGCTATAGTCAACTTAATTAAATATGTGTCTTCGTCAATTCTTTAGTTTTCTGATGTAATCAAATAGACATTGGGATTGAATGTTTTCTTAAATAGTAAAATGATGATAATAGTAATTAGGGGTGGTTCGGGTCGGGATCCCGAACCGAAACTCATTTCCCAAATCCCAAACCAAAACATTTCGGGATGGGATTTTATATCCCGAAACCGAACCGAAATTGTGCATTTCCCGAAATTCGGGATTCCCGAAAGTGTTTCGGGATTTTCGGGATAATTCGGGATTGGGCCTTGAAGCCCAAAATGTTGGGCTTTTAAGATTGCAACCAGCCACTGCCCAAAAAAAAAAAAAATTAAGGTTACAGCCCAGCCCACCTGTTTCAATTTCACCACAAATATCACAATACCACATGTTTCAATTTTCATATAAAGGAAGCAACTAACAAGTCTACCAAACTATTTAATTAAAAGTGCATGCAACAAAAATGAAATAAGTTAAGTTTTACAAACCAAACTTCCAAATTGTCTACCAAACTAGTTAATTAAAAGTGCATGCAACCAAAATGAAATAAGTTAGGTTTTACAAACCAAACTCCAAATGAATTTAGATTAAGTTACAATCCAAAAGCAAAACATAGTTTATATTAAGTTCATTCATTCCCTTTAGCCCCTTCGACCCCTTCCCCTTGTTGATGAATGGCCCGTTGATGTTGGTGTTGATGGTGGACCCCTTCCTCTTGTTGATAATTGAACCCTCCTTTGTGTTGGTGTTGATGCTCTTGAAATGGGTGGTCGTGGAGGTAGTGATGGGCGGCGTTGAACTTGAAGTGGTGGAGGAGGTGGCATTTCACTTTGTGTGGGATTCTCCTCACCTCCCATTCCCATATTAGGCAACTCTAAAACGATAAAATTAAAAACAATAAAACACAAAATATATTTAGAAAGTGAATGCATAAATTATAAAACTAAGAAAATGAAAACATGAAATCAAATACTTCACTTACCCTTCTCCAAGTCTTCAAGTTCCTTGTAGAACATAAGGTCGTCAATTGTAGGCTCCTTGTAGAAAGACATTTCATTCCCCCTTAGCCAATCACTTGTACACACCAAAGCCTCAACTGTTCTCGGTGTTAGAGAGGCTCTAAAAGGATCTACAACTCTCCCACCAAGGCTAAAAGCATTCTCACTAGCAACGGTGCTACTAGGAAGAGCAAAAATGTCCTTAGCAACCTTACTAAGAGTTGGATATGTTCCAATATTGACTTTCCACCAATCCAAAATATTGAAACCTTCATATGTTAAGCTTTGGTGAGGATCATTGAAATACATATCCACTTCATTGGATATCTCGTTTTGTTGGGCCGCCGCTCTTTTTTGTTGGATTTTCCTTTGCATTCTTGTAGCAACATCATCTTCCAATCCCGAAGAATCATCTACCACAACACTTGGCCTTTGATCCATGGTAACACTACTACTACTACTAGAAACATCTCCCTCCTTATACGCCTTATACAAATCTGTCAAATTTTTTTTAATACTTGTCTTCACATCCAAGATTGCCTCACATGAATAGCGGAGTTCCTCTAGGCTTGCCTCCAACATTTCAAACTTGTACCTCGGGTCGAGTGCTTGGGCTATAAAGAGTATAGGGTTAACCTTTTCAATGTCCCCCCAATACTTGTCAAACTTAAGCTTCATGGAAGTTGCCACATTTTGCAAAGTGGCATTAGAGGAATTGCAAATCTTTTCTTCTATCTCCACTTGCAATGCAATCACCGTGCCAAGTATTAAGTTTGAAGTTGGAGTTAGGGTTGCACTAAGTGTCAAGGTGGCATCATAAAACTTTTTAAGAAAGTGAGCAAAACTCACCGCCCTCTCCCAATCTTCCACCATTGGAGGACCCACCCGTTTCACCTTGGTTGTGACCCCATTAATCTCTTTAGATACCTCCTCTTGAAAGTAAGAGATGAAAGTGTTGCACTCATCCGCCATCCTTGCAAACACTTGCTTAAATTTGAATGCACTATTGAGCATTTCATAGGTGGCATTCCACCTTGTGACAACATCAAAGGGAATATTCGACATCTTATCAAATCTCATCAAGATGCAATACTCCCTAAAAGTCTCCAACCTTGCAGGGGATGAATGTATGAACTTGACACAATTCCTTATCCCTTCAATCTCACGACTAAGCTCCGTCATTCCATCTTTAACTATCAAATTGAGGATGTGACAAGCACACCTCATGTGCAAGTGAGCCCCGTCAAGTAAAAGAGTACCATTGGACTTGAGTCTTCTCTTCATGTATGCAATGGTGGTGTCATTGGCACTAGCATTGTCAACCGTAATGCTAAATACCTTGTCTATGCCCCATTTATTCAAGCATACCTCTAAACACCTCCCAATATCATCACCCTTGTGAGACGTAATTTGAACAAAATTTAGAATCCTCTTATGCAAAACCCAATCATTATCCAAAAAATGTGCCGTCACCACCATGTAATTAATATTTTGGATTGAGGTCCAAGTATCGGTAGTGATACTCACCCTCAAACCATCAACCACCCTCTTGATTTTTTCCATCTCAGTAAAATACAATTCTAAAACCGCCGCCGCCACCTTGTGCCTATTTGGAAGCTTGTACTTTGGATTCAAGTCATGGATCCAATCTCTAAAGTCCTCTTGATCAACCGCCCTAAAAGGCATCTCCGCTTTTATTATCCACTTCACACATTTCATATCAAGTCTTTTTTGATTGAAAGTGTGAGCAACAACTTGACCGCCCATCACCCCTTGTGACAACAATGGTTGTTTCGAATCCGGAGCCTCGTAGAGACTAGACTCCGGGCATTTCTTCAAATGATTAAGAATACCTTTCGTCCCATGTCTAGAGGACTCCGCCGGCACTTGAATTTTGCAATGATTGCACTCCGCCATAACCGTTTTATTTCCAAATTCATCGGTCACATTTACCTTAATGGCATCATTCCAAGCCGGACTTGGCCCCTTAGTCCTATTACTTTTTTTCCGTTGACCCACCCTACTTGCTAATGTGGCCACCGAAGGCATATGTTGCGTGTCCAATTCAACACTATCCTCCTCACCTTCTTCTTCCTCTATTTCTTCCTCTATATCTATTTCTTCTAACCCTATATCAGCATCTATATCCGGATCATCATCACAATAATCTTCATAGTATTCTTCAGTTTGAATGTACTGTGGCTTTCGTTTTATTAAAACAGAGATCCGAGGTGTACTAGTAGATTATGATTGGCTACCACTACCACTACTACCAGACTTGTCCATCCTGACAATGCACAATAATATATCACAACACAGTTCAGCATATATATAATATTCATATGAGATTAAAGCATGTTAATTGATCCATAAATTGATCCATTCCATAATATATCACACACATTCCATAAACTGATCCATAAACACATATATTATATCAAAGTCAAAATGAGATTAAAGCATGCACCTTCATCAAACCCGATCTCACTTGCAAAAAAGTTAGCTAACTAGTAAGCACCCTATTAAAAATTCCTCGTTCCACTCTTGATCAGAATCACATAAGATAACACTGTTATCAATTATGCGTTGATCTAATCACAATTTGACCAAAAAAACATCTGAATTTGATTCATTGCAAGATCATACTAATGGAAATGGGCACTATCTGATCATGCATGCACATATATTATATCAAAGTCAAACACATATTTATCTCAGAATATAATCAAGTCAATTGAATACCAATAAAAAAAGTCCAAATGAGATTAAACCATGCACCTTCATCAAACCAAAATGCATAAGAATCTCCCTGGTAGTTTCGAATAAATTTTAAAAAATTATCTAAAAGATGTAAATGATGTTACTTAACTTACCTATTTGTTATTGAGCTCTTGTTAAACTTAGAATGTCCCTGGTTGGTAGTTGTCTCTGATAACTGCTTTAAGTATCACAAAGCTTGAAAATCTGAGCTAAAAACAAACTGCCATTAGCTAAAAACAAACTGCCATTCAGTATCACAAACTGCCATTAGCTAAAACCCTGCAATTCCAAACAAAACCAACCTGAATTACATGAACCCATAAACCAAAATAAATGAAGTAACAAGTCACTGTGGAAATTTATCAAATACCTTGCGGGCAATTAAGAACAAAGCAAATGGAATAGTAACATATCACTGAGGAAATTTATCAAACAACTCACAGGCAATCACAACACTCCATGGACATAGAAAACCAAACGAACAAAACGATAAGAAAACACTGAGGAAATTTATCAAACACCTCGCAGGAAATCACAACACTCCATGGACACATAAAACCAAACAACCGAAACGATAACAATACACTCAGGAAATTTATCAAACACCTTGCAGGAAATATCATCGACACATTTAACAAAACAAAACACTATGAAACTTTATCAAACACCTTCCAAGCAATCACAATTCTCCATTGACACATTTAATTTAACAAAACAAAAGAAATAATAGCAGGGCATCAGAAATATCATCGAACACCTTACAGGCAATCATAATTCCACATAAAAATAAAACAAAACTCAATAAACAAATCAAAGATCAGGAAATTAGACAAACACCTTACAGGCAATCACAAATAACTGGTGGGATTCAAACGAAGAAGAAGACGAAGACCAACCTGGACTTCAGCCGGGAGAGCAAGTGCGAGAGGATAGCGTTTGGATCGGACCACGACCGAGTGTGAGAGGACACTACGTCTGGAGAGGAATGAGACAGCGAGAGGGTTCGCTCGGTCTGTGAGAGAGGGACTGTGAGTGAGAGAGCAAG